AGAGTACAGACAGACAAACAGATCGACAGACTCATCAGATTTCTGGAGCTTTAAAACGTGTATATCCGTAGAAAGAGTTGGGGGTAATTTTTTACTCCAATGCAATTTATTGTGGGGAAATTTAGTCCTCTATCTCCCTCTATCTATATCGTTTTGCGTTTTCGTAAGAAAACTCCACTAGAGGAAATATGGTACACTGAGTGGAAATTGTTTGTCTTGCATACATTGCCTCGACTATACACTGGATTTATTTTGTGCTTAGACCAAAAGTGATGGGACGTCTTGGGGAGGGTGGAAGGACAGCTACTGTTGATACGAATACATGCTGATTTCTGCTTCGATCGATTAGGGAACTTGAAAAACTGTGTCAAAATCGTTAGTCATGCACCAAGATTGATGGAAAAAAGACCAAGAGCATTATCTAAATGTCTAAGAGATGAATTTGATGCATTTTTAGCCACCATATATGTATTTTGATCAATGCCAAAATCGTTATTCATGCATCGCGATCATTGGGAAAAAGACCGAAAGCATTATCTCAATACCCAAGACATGAATTCGATATGGATCACAGTTGCAAGGTTAAAATAAATGGTTGTTAAAACAGTGATGGTAATACTAAGGAACCTTTGATATTCTGTTTATTTTATGTGACCCTCTTTTAAATTGATTTCCCCATCCCTGCACTAACCTCTGCTAATATTTTGGTAAATATTCCACAAGTCGGAAAAATACCCATAAACCTAGGTAGAGTCGTTATTTCCATCCGAGTATGTGTTATGAGTATGTTACAGAAGAAATTCAAATTTTGGGGTCTTTAAAGAAGCGGAGATCTTCTGAGTATTTCACTTGTTTGGTCTACCATTCAATTTTTTTGACATTTAGTTGACATTAGTGGCACAAATAATAATAATCTCACTCAAAGCTGTAAGGAAGTGGCTTGACCATGCATTTTATGTCCGCCTGCCTCAAGGAGTTATTAGGTCTGTGTGGCGGCTTGGGATACAGCTGCCACACCCATTTTGGCCAGCAACTCGTAGCCAATGAGCATGATATGGGTTGACACGTTATTATGGATCAACATCCAATTGTTTCTTCTCGAACCGGTCCAGCTCTATTTCCTATTTTTTTACCCAAAGAAGAATCACAGAGGATTATTCGGGCCGCTTTATGTATGTAATTGCTATTCGTTATCTGCAATCATCTCAAAAAAAGAATGGAGAAAGAAATTTAATTTTGAGCGCATTTTCCAACGAAATTGGGTGCGCTATTGCAGCCGCTTTCTCTGTCTGCCCGTCCGTCCGTCCGAGGCCTTAACTACTTCTACAGTTTTCAATATCGTTCTTTTTGAATTCGGTAGCTTGTAGATCTGGCACCGAGTCAAGGAAAATTGACGATTGATTTTTTAATACATTTTGTTGAAATTTTAACCACAGATACTTCTAGTAAAAGCAAGCATATAGCATAATACTAAAAATCAGTGGTGCGCATGCGCAGACTGCGCAATGCAACCTTTTTATTTATGGAGATATTTCTTTGATATTTTAACCAAAGATGCTTTTAGTAAAGACAAACGTATCGCATATTGTAAACATCAGATTAATGTCATTATCAACTGTCTTGTTTATCGAGATATCTTTTTGAAATTTTAATCACAGATGCTTCTGTTAAAGGCAAACATATCACATATTGCAAAAAAGATGCGCGAATGCATAGTTGGCGCAATGGCAACTTTCCTAATTATTGAGATATTTCTTTGAACTTTTAACCATAGATGCTTTTAGTAAAGAAAAACAGTCATAGCCTTTTAGGAAGTACTGATAAATTAATGGAAAATGCGCTAAAGTTACGCGCCGTAGGACGAACACCTTTTTACTTGTTTTGCATCCCTAACCTTAACCTTTTGTCATGTACCTAGTTTATGAACGCCTATTTTTTTTACTACTTTTTTCTAAGGGGATTTTCAGTGTAGGGAGGATCAAGCCGTTATGGAGATTCATCGCCTGGTGTTATAACACTTCATCCTCCCCTGGTAAATAGTTGATTGTCGAATGAGGGCTCGTAATGAATATTATACTAGAAGCAACCAAAAAACGTTAATAATTCCTAAAACGAGTACTTCTCATGGCCATCATCATGCATTATACTTGGGTGTTAAGCTTTATAATAAAATGCCTATCTATTTAAAAAATTGCGAGACCCTACATGCGTTTAAGAAAAGGTTTAAGGATTGGCTATTAGGAGTAGAATTGGATTTTTACTCCAAGCTAACGTGAATCTCTTTCTAGCCCTTATGTGGTTCTATATTTTTGTTTTGTTCTTTTTTTTTGTATTAGTGTACATGTATATATCTCGATGACCCATCACGCACGAGCCTTGGCTTATGTGATTGTTGCCAATTTTTAGCGCATTTTTGAAAAAAATACGCTATTATATTCGTTATTGCTGGCAGGCCGGCTGTCCGCGTGAGTTCTCCACAACTACAATAGCTAGAGAATTCAAATTTTCACTAAAAGCTTTCTGCTATAGTGTAGATGTGCAGGCACTAGTCTATTTTGAGTTAGATTACTTGTGAGATCGATAATTGATGAAAATAAATTCGATATGGGTTTCGGAGGTGCTATAATTTTACCGTTAGATAGCGCTACCAGTATAAAAACTTCATAGATATATAAATACATAGATACAGCCATACCCCAACATAGTTCAAAAGGACGTACCATCTATTACCATCACTTTCGGCACATTAATTACGTATAGCGCTATCCTTTATAGAGGTACCCTGAGCATGGAAGACAAGATTCGCATTATTTATTATAACTGTCAATCAAATTGTTAGCACAAATCACACAGAAAATTATCAGATTTGAGACTTTACAACATAAATAAACCGCCTTTTTATTTATTTAAATCGCATAGCAGCAAGAAATGTTGCATTTAAAATGGAAGATGTTACTTAGAAAGCTGGCAAATGAAGAATTTGAAAAAATTACAGCTGACAACTGGAAGAAAGTGTGTGAACATGTGGAAAGTGATTAATTTAAAAGAGAAGTTATATTTGGTTGATGTGGCTGAACTTTATAATAAGTGTTAATAATGACAGTGATGATTCGAATTTGTCAATTTCATCTGACGATGATTCGGATTGTGAGCTTTTACAAACGTAATGAATGTTCACTAAATGAGTATTATCACCAATTGGATATCATTGTTAAGGTGTTGTATTTATTTTAAATAAATGTACACGTGTAGCTTACTTACTACAATTAGCACTATAATTTCAAAAAGAAACCCCACCGAATGGACATATGCCGAAAGGTAGGCAAGACGCGTAGCGACCAAAATTTGATATTGCACGCACACACAGTCTAAAAACTCGTTTTCCTAAGAATATTGCACGGATCCTTCTTTGTGATCATGATACAAACGCACTGCATCAACATCATATAGGCCAAAATGATAATTGGAAACGAATTCACTTCCTGTCGCAACTTAATTTCCTTTACCATTACGCCTAAAACCATGCAATTAAAATTAAAATGTTGAACATAAACTTTACTTACTTACGGTTTTTTTGATATTCTGCAAGCCAGCAATGAATTCACTGCAGCACATCATGCCAAACAAGGTAAACATAATCCCAAATTTGAATGGCGTAGCTCTATGTAATAAAACTATTTCAGGAATAACAATTATGGACGCGTCTATCATTGTAGCAAGCACTAATGTTATTCGTATTCAATTGATAACGCAATAATTACATAATATTTAGTGAAAAAACCGCCCATCATGTTTAGGGCGAATATTTTTAGTTAGATTTGATTTCGCGCGATCGTGAAATGTGTCAACTGTCACATGACTTATGGGACGCGATAAGTTTGTTTTAAGCGTCCGATCCGCGTACGACATAGTGGTTAAGGCAATAAAAAGAGATAGAACATGTTTCATCTTGGTTAGAAAGTAATGGAGAGATGTACAAATTTCTTTGATATGTTTTTTAAAAACCGAGGTACGTTTGTTAAGGATGGCTGTATCTAGGTATTTATATATCTATGAAAAACTTATTATTTACTTTGTGATTTGTTTTACAAAATGAAGACGTACCGTCAATTGAAATGAACTAAAATTAATTATCTAACGCAGCCAAAATTACTCGTGAGATCGATAATTTTAAACTTCGCTAATAAAATACTGACCTGCATTACCAAAAATGCGCTTTAATCATGCATATGCTGATTTACAACTTGTTTTCATTATATCAATAACCATAGATTTTGCTAAATAAATACAAATACAAAATACAATACAAAATACAAAAATGGGGTATTATTAACTTTAGACAAACTTCCCAAAGGTAAAAGTTGTAGATAATTGTGAGATTAAAAGCGCAGGTAACCGCATATTTTTCGAATCTATACTTTTTGACTAAAAACAAACATTTTTTTATGGAAAACTTTATTTTTTGCCCTACGACGAGTAATTTTAGCGCTGTTTCCATGTATTATCAGTACTTTCCAAAAGGCTATTTTCTTTACTAAAAATGTCTCCATAAATAAGAAAGTTGGCGTTGCGCAATTTTGCGTACACTTCAATTCACTTTTCTGATTGTTTTAAAACCGAAGTAGTCTCACGCGGAATAATGTATGCAGGGTGGTTTTTTGTTTGCTCTTAAAAGAGTGAACGCAGCTGCTGATCACCATTTTCACATTTTAGCAGTTTGGTTTGGATAGTTAGGATACTTAATTTATCAGACGACTGAGAACCACTCAATGTGCCGTAATTCACCCCTTACATTGAAGCATTGTATTATTAATGGATGATTAGACACTGCTTCCCTTCTTAACTCGCTATAGAAATACAAGCAGCTATTGTCTTATCTGGTATTGGAACTTATGGCTCATAAGAGCCATAAGGTCGAATATCAACCTTATTGGTAGAAATATACACATCATTAAAACATAGAAAGGAGCAAAGTAAATAAAATAATTTTTTGTTTACAGATCGACCGTGATAAAATAGCAAGTTTAATAGAAGTGGCTATGCAGAATATATCGGGGCCAGTAAGTCCTAGTCAAGCCCTTCCGACGTTACACTTTCCTCCTCTTCCGCAGCCGGTCATCAACCCAGGTTCAATATTAGGGCCTATAAATCCAACTCCCACGCAAGTGCCCATGCACTCCACTAGTTAGTACTCTCGCAAGTAATAATGTATTTCTAATTTTAACGTAGACATTGTCTCAACAGCGGGTATGTACGAAGAGATTGTAAATGTTCACGTTTTGTTACATTCCCTTCTTTTGAGTATTCGGAAAAGTATTTTTATTATAATTCGGAAACGTGTTGAGATTACGCGCAGTCGGAATTTGTTTTTCGCCTATTTGTTTCTGAACTTTAAAATCTCTTTTTATATATTTGCAATCTCCATACTTGTCTCCCGAGAGACGTGTCTCTGATAGGCTTAGGATCGAAGACTGTTATATCGGACATTGGTACATTGGTAAGTTAGGCGTGCTAGTCATGAGACCACGTGTTTATCTGTGATCAGGAGCTCCAATGACATCTACAGTGGACTGTTTATCATAGGTACATATGTATGTGATCTGTTTAAACTGTAATAATGATTTTATATTTATGAACGTTTCATTAACCCCACTTCAGTTTTTTTTACAGTAAAATCTATGTGAAAAACGCGTCGGATGATTTTATATTGTGTAAATAATTTACGTTAAGAAATAATTCATCGGATTTTACTGTTTGATTTTCTGAAAATCGCTTTAGTTAAGCTTCCTTTCTTATGATTAATACTCGTGTCGCGAATTGTATTATTTTTTTATATTTTGCCCCCTTGAGACTGAGTAATTTTTAATAAGCATAGGAGTAGTTGAAAAATCAGGACAGGACCAATTAAGTGTGAATTAAATTATTTTTTCCTTTTCTTTTTAACGAAAGGGATGCTCTAACACCAAGCATTGTTTGCATTGTATCGTTTAGGACAAAAATTGTTAATGTTACCAAATTGAGTAGGCCTACTTTAGTTTAGAAACTCAAAAATTCCAACCTTTTTTAGTCACTTTTGTAAGTTCGGTATGAAATGTTGTTAGAACTAAATTCGTAAAGCAGTTTCAATTTTGTCGACTGAATTTCTCCAAATATGCCATAATAAATTATTTGTGATTTAGGATACACCAAATATTTTTAAACGCTTTATATTTAGATAAAACAAATTAGTAGAAAATAAATTATTTATCGCACACATTCTTTATAATTGTGTCGATTGAAACGAGAGGGTTATAATTTATTTTGTTTTGTACAGTTTTTTTTAATTATATTTTCTCATTTTGTACATTGGTGTCTTTGTTCTTTTCGTTAATTTGTTAACCCAATCCCACATCTGGTAGTTAGTTAGAGCTCCCATGTGATAATTCGCTCAATATCTTGAGAGTCTAGGCTGGTTTCCTAAATGATGTATATTAGTCAATTGGCTTACCACTTTAGGCTAAATGTTCTGCGCTTAGATAAAGTAAGCAGGCAGACCTTGTTGGTTTAGAGTGGTCTTTCATACGCCCACACAAGCTTCAGTCACTTTTATCCCTACGTTCACATAAATACAATGTATTGTTCTTCCTTAGTCCCCGAGCGGCATGTAGAGCGTATAATTTTGAACTTATCGGATGTAAATATTGTGTTGTTTTGTACATCGGTTTTATAAATTGTGATTGATTTAATATTAGAGCGCTCTACAGCGCTGCTCCTTCTGCTTGCTCATATTGAGCAGATTAAATAGAGAATTCTGTAATGGAATGCAAACAGAGTAAGACTTGCATTTAAGCTTTTTGCCAATCACTTTTACAACTGTCCTGTATTGCAAATGGCTGGAATATTCCACTTAAAGCCATTATTTATGTTTCGGTATTAAAACGTTCGCACATCAAGCAACCATCCTTAGTATTGTATTGTTATCATATTATTTAATAACCATATTGTTTCGCAATATCATGTATTCGTTCGCTGTATACTGCATAAAATAGCTTCTATTATGGGCGTAAGACGTGATGGTTTTTTGATGTGCGAAAGATTAATTTATTTTTTATTTAAGTGGTATATTTTAGATAAAATATATTTTAATATGATTTGATAAATACATTTAATATATTGTATTATCTTATGATATCATATACAACAGGCTGTTCATGTATATCTTATTTAAATAAATACGCAATATGGTCATGTTTTGTAATTACTGAATATTTTTTCATATTTTGGAACCATTTGCACTTAACCAAGTTGAGATGCCATCAAAAATGTTCAATAAATAATATTCAAACTTTTGTTTATTTCTTTTTGTTTGATGTGGTTTTATTTTAGTTTAAGCGTCTGCATCAATGGAATGTTTTTTTTAAACATCTACTCATTCTACAATTGTCTTTCTTAGCTCATTTCATGTGGTTATTTCGAACCAGAGACAAAGTTGTAATTGTAAAGGAAGTAAATTTGTGAGGAATAGCCCTCTATAGAAAGCACTCACAGAGTGCACATACGCGAGCCTGTCGTATCATGTGACTGGCATAGATGTGCCTTGTAAGTCATTTACACAGACAGAGCTCAAGAGTTTAGTAGCTAGGAGGTATTTCCTCAATTTAATCGATTTCGCTGTAGACAAAACTTGGTCTAGATAGATTTACCTTAGGGCCAGTTTCATGGAAAGCGAATATATTGTGAGGACGTCTTATCTGGGATGAGTTTTGTTTTTATGTTGGGCGCGAACAGTCCTGGGAGATTTTTGGGAGAATACAAACACCAGGTACAACTTTCTGGAGGCTCCAGGTAAATTTTCCTTGGAGCGAGTTTCTTGGGAGGTATATTTCGGCAGTTGGTCCAGGGGTAATTTTGGTAGTTGGTGCAGGGGTGTTTTGGCAGCTGGCCCAGGGTATTTCGGTAGTTGGATCACGTGTACATGTCATCTTGGATGCTGGACCCATCATCTTAGATCCTAGCAATGATGTTAGACCTTACACTTTGACGTCATCGGTGATTGCTGGGGAATTTTGTTGTTGGTGTGGGGATTCGAACCTGCAATATCTGAAATAGAAGGCTAGCGGTTTAATTTTCCTCACTTTGTAAAATAGAGGTGTGTGAACTGCTTCAATTGTGAATCGATTTCGTGGTTGTCTAACGTAAGCAAGAAATGGTAAACGTAGATCCGCTAGTGGAATTTTCTTACGAAAATCACGATCGCGCGCGTTTATTTCAAAATGAAGAGCAAACCAAAAAAGAGACTAAATGTAAATTTCCTACAAAAAAGTACGCTAGGGCCAATGTCTTCTTCATTCGTTTATAACTAATAACCTTTCAAATGAGTGGGTTCCTTTACATCTGCAATACCTTTGAATGCTTGTAACACATAAACTGGGTAAGTTTTTTTTTCGGCAAAATTACATGATGTATCGTGCAAAAAATTGTCTTGTCTTGTGAGACGTGACAAGTCAAAACCTTCTCTAAATAAGCATAACTGTCTTTAAGAAATAAGGTTTCGCCAAAGGGTTACTCTTTGGTTTCGCTTAGAGTAGTTTCATTGGGAGGTTAATTTTCCGACATGAGTTTTGTTTTCCTTTTGAAAGCAAATTAATTCCAGGGAGGTTTTTTGAATATTCTTCGGCATGAATATTCTAGCTGAGAATATATACGAGTCCATTTGCAATATTCCGAACGCCTTAGCAACATTTTTCTTGGAGCCAGTTTCCACTTTCCCTAGTGCAAATACCTTAAGAGGGAGAGCATTCTTGAATGAATTCTTGTCGACGAGGTTTTTTGTTGGAGACAAAGCAAGGCGAGCATTGTGAGATAATATTTTGAGGAATATTGTGAGTGGAATTTCATGTGATAAATATATATAATGGCCCGGAGGCGAATATTTTTTGCTACCTATAGGCATATCATTCCACAGGGTTGCCGGAGGCGAGCGTGCTTGTGGGGGGATATTCCGGTATGGGTTGTACTCTAAGATGAGAATATTACAAAATTAACTTCACACTATATATAGGTAATATAATCATTCCTTGGTTATGTATAGAGGTAGGCCCTATATGAAGGGAGTTTCAGAACACAATGTGCCAGATGTTCCGGTCCGAAATAGTACCACAGATTTAAACACTGTGATAGTACTACTTAGGGGGGTACTCTAATAGTGAGTATATTATGGGAAAATTTATCCTGGAGGCGAGCTTACCTTCAGAGGCGGAGAGCTGATCCTGTAGAGCAAGGGTGCTCAAAGTTGAACTGCTGACGATTTACCTCAATGTTGTTAGACTCGATCAACTCTCAGAGGCTGTATGTGTTATGCAGGATAGTTGTCTTCATAAATATAGGACGTATCATCGCGCAAATATTAGTTTATAGGGACGTTGCAGAATTGTATGCAAATACTGTACATAGAATTAGTGGAAACGACAGAATTTAGTTTTCTGCAAAATCTATTTTTTTTAAGTCAAGGTAGGCGTAGGTCTGCTCTGAGAATCGCAAATATTTCTCCAGATCGACTTAAAAAGTACTCGCGATCGACCCGGCCCGGTTATTACAACTCTCAATAACTTTTATTCTCAAGATAAAGTCTGTGGATACCATTGTTGATACAATCGTGTAATTTAATCGACAGATCAAAAAAGCAACCTTGAAAGAGTATACTTACATTATAGGAGGTGGACGAATATTCCTTGCTGAAGTGCAGGTTATACCGCAGGAGAGGGAGAGGGAGCTAGTATGTGTGCTGTTGTTTGTAATATTTACTTACATATTTCAAATGGTCTATAGCTATACCATGGTCGCAATACCTGTTTTGCATGCGTGCTTCAATTCTCTCAATCTCTAAAAATTCTTTTTGAAAACATTTATTTTGCACTTTCTAAAGGCTATATCCGTTTTATTTGTAAACGAGAGCGCCAAATTAAATACATTTGCTACTATAGTTTGCAGACTCGCTACTAAATTGAAAGCTTTGTATTGAGCAACAGTTTTGTTATATTTTAATACAAGTACACGTTGTGGCAAATTCATTTGAGAACTTAAAAATCTAGCACATTTCAAGTTAAAATACTTTTACAATTAATAAACAATCCACATTATAGGTACAACATCTTAATTAATAACTAGAAGTTTTCGATAATGATGGCAATTTGTTGATTATTTCGTTTACAAAAGTTTTCTCTATAACATTTATAGTTTATAACTTTTTGAAAAACGTTCGCCAATGCTTTACGGAATTCCCTACTACACAGGAAATATGCAAAGAAATTTAATGCAAAATTTGCCATCTCTAGCAGATTTGCTGCTGTTCGAAACCTTTCAAAACCTAAACTATTATCGTCTCGAAATGTATACCAAATTGATAAAAAGGATGCTGGTGTAATTGTTATTAGAAAAAGAAGGGATATCATTTGAAGTAACGTGATCAGTTGCTGTTCGTCCTTGTACTTTTTGTTTTTGTTCGTGTAGTTCGCGAGTCCATCGTCTTTGTTGTACTTTAAAGATGGACTGTACTTGTGACGCAGTTTTTTGAGAGCCTTTAATTTCTTTATAATTAAAATGTTTAAAATGGCGACAACGAATGCAGGTCCCATTCGCATCATTAGTTCTGAGACGATAATGTAAGTGCGCCAATATGTTGTGTCAGTAACAGTGACATTATCCATGAAACTCAACTGGCATATTTCCGTCCAGCATGTAGTTTTCAGTAGGTACAATGGAGAAGCGAACAAAACTGCTATGCCCATACAAACCAAAATTGCACCCTTAGCCATTTTGCACGTGTGAAAAGAGTTGAAAGTTGTTGGAGAACAGACCGATATATATCTATCAATTGTAAGGCAAGTGATGATGTAGACACTAAACGCAATGAACGTAGTTAGTAACGGCATTTCGATGTAGGCAAAGAACACGGCCGTATAGAAAGAGTGCCCTATTGAATCACTCAAACGCAATACCATACTTATATCAAAAAGTAGAATACTAACATCAGCAATTGCCAACGCTCTCAGATATATCCTCGTACAGTTATTAAAGAACGGTTTACTTAAAACTAAGAGATTTAACACGTTTCCAAATATACCAACTACGATTAGTCCTGGCGCTATTATTGTGTATGCTATGCGGCGAAGATCCTTTGTAGACACTTCAAATTCATCCAAAGAGGAAAGTTGATTATTACATTTGGGAACGCTGAAATAGGAAAAAATCAAATCAGTGTACGAAATATTCTAATATGAAAGACATGTAAATGCCAAGAAGGGTGATTATTGCAGTTATATACAGGTTATATAACATAATAGACTGAATGATAATATAACTTTATATAAGTATGTAGGTACTATATCTTTACATAAAAGTTGCATAACATTGCGTTTATATTATTTAAAGGGGTGGTAAAATAGTCTATTACGTCAGAAGGTTGTAATAGTACGTATGACAGATGAGCAGAAAAATTGCGCATGATGTTCGCGGCAGAGTGTGGCAAGTCTACGAACCTGTACTATACGTAAATTACAACCGAATTACGTACTATACTTTTTCTGCGGCCTCCGTGAATTTCGAAATGAAAATAAAGCCAAACCCAAAACGACGCCTGACACTGTTGACATTTGTAGATAATATTTATCACCTCCAAACGTACATGATCTATTCTAATTTTTTTCATTTCTCACGGGTGTGGGCAATATGTACTATATCATGCCTCTACATATGAAGCTTTGATCGTTTGGTACTGAGTAGAGTATTATTATTGAATAATTATTCAATGTTCAGATTCTTTATTCAATGGTATTATAAAAACTCATTTTGTTTCAGAGTTGTGCTAATTGGACAGCACTTTGACTTGTGTTCATTGACAATAATACTCTTATTAATGTAATATTTAAATACTTTATTATTTAAACAATGGTAATACTAATATACAGGGTGATTCCTATAGTACCTGCCACCGTTTGGGAGCGTATAGGGGGTGCCTAGGGGAGTATTTTGATATAGGACACTTGGGGTCGGAAATCTAAAATAAGGGCGCCAGAACCAAATTTATCTTCTGGAATTTCACGCCTGTATGTAGGCAACCCAACCGACCGACGTTTCGCGCGGAGCGATGCAGAGCGAGTTAGCGCGAGGAAGCGACATGGGAGGGAAGGAGGGAAAACGACAGTCAAAAGCAATAACGTTTACAAGTGTTCAACGTGGCCACCGTTGTTCTCAATGCACTTCCTACATCTAGCCAACTATTATTATACTATTGCCATAGTGTTTATTCACTTGATACGCGTCGTTGCAGACGGGATTTCGTGGGTTTAAACAAAATTCTGATCAAGTGTCAGCCACACATCGCCGCCTGAGATCGCTCCGTGTGCACCGCCGGCCGGTTGGGTTGCCTACCTACAGGCGCGAAATTCCAGAAGGTAAATTTGGCTCTGGCACCCTTATTTTAGATTTCCGACCCCAAGTGTCCTATATCAAAATACTCCCCTACGCACCACCTACACGCTCCCAAACGGTGGCAGGTACTATAGGAATCACCCTGTATACTATTGTAAACATCTTTCTGCAAATAATATATTACTATTATTATCATAGACGGTTGTGTATAGCAGTTTGCTGTTAAACAATCTTTACTGCTTTTGCCGAAACTATAGTCGTAATATTGGTTTATAAACAAAGTTTCATGGGGAAGGTTTCGTGTCAACTTTAAACAAACTTTATTCATCCCACCCCATTTTGAGAAGAAAATTACACCGATGGATATTCTAGAAGATAATCTTTACCGCGGTGATTGGAAAAATGGATTGGACAATGATTGTAGCAGGGAACAATGAAAAAAAATTATTACTTACCCCATGTTCGTAACATAAATACGGCAGAGTGGTATATTCGTTCAAATTGTATGTAGGTATAGTGACTAATAAGGCATAAATAAATACATCCGGTGTACGTACAGTATATTGCGTTAAAACTATAACTTTGTGCGACGTGCAATGAAATAATGTAATAAGTACAACACGTATATAATAACCGGCGCACTCATCACTCATAGTTTGTATTGATAATTGGATTTGCCGTATCACTTTTTTATGGAAGAAAATGGATTAATTGATACGAAATGGAAAACATTAATATTGCGAATTGATTTGGTTTCAGATGGTAGGTACTAAATATTTTCGCTTCTAATGTTTACCTATACAGTTATTATATGACACATTTATGCGCTTACGATTGTTATAATTAAATTAATAATAAACGTAGTTGGTTCGATTAGGGATATTTATTTCGGAAAGGGAAACTTTATCTCTTAGTGATACTGAATCGGCGTGATAAAGCATCGTGCTGTACGAAAGAACATTAATATTCAGTTCATTAGCATTGTGTTCTAAATTGCAACTTTAATCAATTTAGATAGGTACGCCCAATATACTGTCATCAGATTGAGATAATGAGTCATATTGTTTGAAACCTCGATATTGATTTTCCCTTTGGGCAAGACGTTCCGGTTCCCGCCTGACTTTCAACATTTTTGTCTACTATCGTAAGCCTACATTGCTATCGTAATATTCGCCAATAACGACCCTGACTTGGACACCCTGAGCATCTCGTGCGACTCCAACGACTGACAAACTGTGCCTACACCAATAAATAAACATACTCTGTATATGTTTAAAGTGATGTACACATTTTTGAGAGCTGGTAACTGCGCGACTTTTTAGAAGAAGGGAAAAACCCCCCTGCTAACCACGGTCCGATACGGACCGTGCCTGCTAACAACATATTTATTATTACTCATTGGAGAAAAATAACTAATATGAAGACTTATTGAATAGGTATTCATTACTTATACTACTCCACCATTATAGTGTTTTATTTTGCGTTCCTTCCCTACTGTACCTACTTTAGAATTAGAGGGTCATAGTGTTGTCAATAACTAACGTAAGAGGGAGGTACTGCCTAAGATTTTGTAAAGTCACTAAATATAGAAAGTACCGCAATCCATTGGGCTCGTGTGTTAGAGAGAGAACGCATGATTTTTGCCCAAAAATGGCGGAAGTTACCAGATTCTAGTAACTTTAATGTTAGTGATTGTTCCACCTGTTTGGAGATATCTGTATATATTTTTATAAAACATGACAGTACTATGAAGTTAGGTTATAAAAAATTACAGCTAGTCAGATTTTATTTGTCAATTTTTTTAAGTTGGCAGCAAATTTGCCCAAAAATGGCGGATGATTGCGGTACTTTCTATATCTAGTGACTTTAAGATTTTGGAGGGAATGGTCATGTTTAAACGTTCTCCATGATGCCGTAGTGTGAACTTAGCGTAACCTGGGGGTTAAGTACACTACAGTGTTAATTTAAGTTTAATTTTCTTCGTAGAGCAGAGCATTGCCAGACCAGTTCAGTACGGAATGTCCTTCTTCCATTACTAGGTGTACATACTTGTTACAATCGGTGTTTGTGTGTAACACTCTGTACATCATGCATTTTATGTTTAATAGTTATGAACACGGATACTCAATGTCAATGGCAGCACAGTCGTGATATTTAAAAGTTTTGTCCGTTATAATTTTTCTGTGCAATATATTATTTTCATCCTAAAAAAGTTTACATAAAATGTCCGAGTTTAGTACACCAGTGAGAACAAGGGTGAAAAGAGCAAGATCACCCGTCTCAATACCGCCTTCGCCCTTTTTAAAAAAATTGGGTTATGGAACTGGTAAGTTACTTTCCATAACTTTGTTCCAATTTATGACCTTCACGAACTTACAGGTGTCGGAGTTTACAAGCTTGAGCGATCCCCTCAGGCAAATAAAGTTCGTTCGCCGTGGGCTATCAAGAAATTACTTAAGCAGAGCGCAAATAATGCCGAACTAAAGAAACGTTTGTACGACGAAGCCGAAGTCTTGGGAAAGTTGAATCACCCGAATATTGTGGGATTTCGTGGATTTATTAAGAGTCACAAAAATGAAAGTTGCCTGGCGATGGAGAAATGCAACGTATCTTTAGGAGATATGATAGAAGAGAGACGCGAACACGGTTTGTCTGCATTTCCGGCTATGAACCTCATGAGAGTGGCTAAAGACATCGCCGAGGCTTTGCACTATTTACATACAGAAGTTTTGTTATTGCACTGTGATGTTAAGTCGTTTAATGTATTAATTAACGGCAATTTCGATGTATGTAAATTATGCGATTTTGGTGTAACTTTACCTCTCACACCCAGCGGTGAAGTTGATTATTTGAGAACAGGAGAAGATGTTGATTATTTGGGAACACGCTTATGGTCACCTCCTGAAGTCTTTAAATATCCTTGTATTATTACAACTAAAGCCGATTTGTATTCGTATGGACTTACACTTTGGGAAATGTTGGCCTTGCAACCTCCTTGCCTGGACATTTTAGATGAAAGTGATACCTCTTTGGAAGAAATTGACGAAGAATCTCTAGTTGGAAAAAGACCTGATTTACCTGATATTGACTTTGACGCGTCGTATAAGTATGCATTAGAAATTTTTCATTGTTGTACAGAATTTGACTATCATGAGCGTCCATCAGCATTAGATTTGACAATTAGCATTCCAGAAATGATCAAAGAGATGGACTCTATCGTTAACTAGTTATTTTATTGCACAACGTTTTCGTAATTCATGTTATTTTTTACCTATATATACTGTATTGCTAACTATAAAATTTTCAATATATATAAGCTTTAGAATTTTAGCCTATTCATTCTTATGAGATGCCAAGGGCACAAATTTTATATGAGAGGACTAAAATTTCAGGACTAATTGAACACTGACTAATTCTTTACTGCCGGGCTACTCAAAAAATATGGTTCACATTAAAATTTATGTCATGGCGCAAGCATAAGAAATTAAATTTTATATTAAAAAAGTCGCTCATGTAGTTGATCTTTCCACTTCTCTCAACAAAACAAATTCTTAGATGCAAGTCTTGAGTTGCAGCATATTTACATACAATTAATGGTACTAAAATTCTAGGTGGGCCAATATGCTATTATAACAAAAATTAAGTTCTGGAAAACTTGCTTGATATCAAATATCTTGGAATGTTTTCCTCTTTTACATGTTTTTACCGCCCCCAATAATTTATCTGTGGATTCGCAAATACGAGGGTAGGGTCAAAATTCCCCGTCTATTAGAACAAACAGAACACATACGAAACAGAAGAAAAGTTAATTAGAGGACCCCTTTTTCGTATTGCTTACGCACCGTCCGGAAGCGGGTATGATAGAAGAAAATAACAGATGCAGCGAAGAATTGGACTGTATGGAGTACTCCACGAAGTAAACAGTTATAGTCGACACAGAGGGCAATATCACACTGATAATATACTTCCACATGAATACATAAATAAATAATCAAGAAAACATTTTATTGTTTTGTTGGGTAATTATTTGGATCCCACTTCTGATGTAAAATGCGCTAGATATAGGGTGGGGTGAGGTGGTGTTGTAGGGTGGTTACACTTTACACCCTTGAATTACGCTTACATATAGTAGGTACAGTGCGTTCGAGATAAGGGACGGTCACCTCAATATCTCTTTTATTTGGCGAGATACAAAAATTTGTCAAATATAATTTTATATGTGATCTGGTCGCATATTGAGACATCCGGCATCATTTCAGGTTTATCCGGAAATGGATGAACTTTTGTTTTTTAAATGCAGTGCCTTTATTTTTGCTAGGTGTCCAGATGCATAGTTTATTGGCGCCACCTTCGTGGCGTGTGAAGACTGGTTAAATCAATTAATTAGGTATATTCTTTATTCATTGGGTTAAATTATCTGGCGGCACTAAACTGTCGCCACTAATCCATGCGTCAATAAAGTAGAAGACAGGGCTACTTTTTGGCGCCAGTCACGTGCCATTTGTACCTTAAAGAAGTTGTTATATTCAGTGCAACACGGACCGCGGAAAAAAAATGTCAAAAAGTGGGCCACAGGCCACATAATAAAGTTTTTGGAGTCCTACGAGCAATACCCATGTATGTGGAATCACAAAGGAGAGCTTTTTTCTACGTGAAATTCACTTGCGAGCCCAGATCCTGTGTTTACGTTTTTTTTTTAATGTTTTCTGCAACTCTGCACAAAATTTCCACTACAACATTTATACATGCGCGAATTTCAGTTGACACTACACCAGTCGAAACTGTTTACTTGACGTATAGAAACAAACATTGGCGCTAGTAATTATAGCGCCACTGAACTGGCGGATTGTTGGCGCCAACAAAGTATGCAAGTATTTTGATGATGCAGTTTTGAAACTGAAAATATTCCGACTACTGTCAGAGATATCCGGAAAAACCGAAATTTGGCAAAATCGTTTTTATTTTTTACTGAAGATATTTCGAAATAAATAACACATTATTATGACCACTTTTTTCCCCTACAAAATTTTAAATCCGACGTTTCGTCTCCGGTTGACTATCATCAACTTTGTTTTTTCTTATGGAAGTAACTTTTTCTGTCATTTGATACAGAATTTTTTCTGAGTTCAAAAATCATTACTATTAATTCGTAAAAACGCAAGAGACTATACGTATACGTACACTACCGAAGACAAAGTTTTCTAGGCAAAAAAGAAGATATTTTAACAATATTTAAAAAATTGTGATGTTTACATTTTTGAAATCAGAAAAAAATTCAGTAAAAAATAAAAACGATTTTGCAAAATTTCGGATCTTTCCGGATATCTCCGGAAGTTGTCGGAATTTTTTCAGCTTCAAAACTGCATTTTTTTTTTTTTGAACCTATTGTGCGATTGCTTTGTTGGATGTCTAGGAAATAATAAATATCAATATTTTAACTACACAAATGATTTAATTAATTTCAAAATAAAGAAACATTACACACTATTACTACTCGAACACGACATTGACTTGGAATTCTAATGACATATATAATACTAAAAAACTTCAGTGTTGTCACTACCAACTTACATAACAAAAAAACTATTATTAATACAATTTCATTGACATAACTACAGAACCAATTTTACGACCTTAATTTTGAAAGTCCCCCATGCCAATAATTACGCGATTTTTACTTCATAAGTTACGTTACAAGCGTTTCATTATTCTCCTCAAGTTATGTGCAGTAGAGAGCTAATTATAATTTTGTTAACCTAGCAGTCTGTAAGGAGCCGTGAACGACCTTGCGTTTGTGTTTTGTATCTTCTTGTCGTGTGGTTATGCAAATCAAATTGCATTTTTTTTAAAGCACCCTCTGTGTTGTTTGGGGCCCACTTAAAGAGAGTATAATTATTTAAATATTTGTATAGAAAACTGCTGTAGTTACGCTATTCATTATTAGGTACCAGCACATTCTAACGAAAAAAACTTTGTCCTTTACTATGGGTACTTCTCTTTTCAGGCAATCCCAGCCTTAAGCATCACTTTGCCATATGTGACTGATACGTGTGAGACTTTTTAATGCAGAGTTTACGATTTTCAAAAAGAACTCATTTTTCGATCAAGGAGAGCGGATGATAAAAAACAATTTCCACCGACAACTTTTCTTCCAAGGACTTATACCTACCATGAAAATGGTATATATTCAGTGAAGACTACTCCTACGTAGGTAGATAATGAATTTTTTTAAGTATATGTCCGAGTTTATGTGTGTACAGGTAATTTCAATAACTATACTTACTGGCAAGAGAAATTAAAAACAACCGATGAAAGTACAGGCTATTATAATATAACAAAGTAATTATTTCAATCGCCCTTGAGCTATTATTATCAAAAGTTGAATTTAGGTAAGCGGTTTTCTAGTTGTTATTGTTTGCTATATCAACGTTTTCAGTTAATAAAGTGGCAAACATCACCCATAATGAAATAAGCCACGCCGTAAAAAGATAGGTATCCTTTACTCATAAGCAGTTATCGATGATGCGACAGGATTACTCATTTGAGAATCCCCTATTTATATTGTGTTTACCTACTTTTATCAACAAAACGATTTTCACTTCCTCCAAGTGATATACCGACTACGGATCAAATTAAGTCATTTACAGATTTTATTAGCGTTCCAATGCGAACTGCTACTTATGTATAGTGCGGTCACCTATTATTGTGCTCGATAATGTGAAATCTTATCTTAAAATTACGAACAGTGTGTACCAAATGATAAGAATTAGTGAGCAAGGCTAATATAGTAGTGTATATTATTATGTCTCCAACTAAAGATAGGTTAAACGACTTAAAAAAGGTAAACTGCCCCAGTGTTTATAATTAATTTAAAAATAATAGTGTTTTAGATTCAAAATGGAGAGGTTTCCGTACTTCTTGGCGTGGGTGCGTCGGATAAACAAACGACAGATATCAATACCACGCTAACAAGAGTGGACAAGATTCGGGAAAATATTGAAATAATAAGGCATAATACACTGGTATCGGATAGCATATTTCAAAGCAATTCCTTCAAATTAACAGCAGGTATATCTAATTGCGTCAAGCAATCGTAGGTAACTAATACATTTACCAAAGAGTTGCAAGATCAAATAGACTCCCTTTTTCAAAGTACGACAACCGCATCATATAAAATTAACAAACAACTTAAGGAATTTGAAAATGAATTGGATAAAATAATAGAAAAGTCCTCGGCGAAATATAGAATTAATCAAACTCAATACAACACGCTAAAAGGGGACTTCCGTAAGGCTCTTGCAGAGAGCAGTTCATCACTCGAAATCCACAGAAATAACCGAAAAAACGTGTTGAAAAAATGCCTTAAGTTAGGTGAGAACAAAACTATTCTCGAATGTATGTTAGCTTAAATTTTGTTTAGTACACGAGGAGGCGGATGACGAACAATTGGAAGCTCTTTTAGATAGTAACAAACTGGATGTATTTACAGAAAATGTAAGTATTGCTTCTTACATGTAAGCCACCGAAACTAGTAGACTCGTACCATTGAATAAATATTCAATGCTCGTACTAATTTTCAGCATTTAGTTACAACAGAAGAGGCAAGACGGCAGTTACACGATATAGAAGAACGCCACGAAGAACTGCTCAAAATTGAGAAGAATCTAGAAGAGGTGATGGGTTTATTTGTAACAATCGCCACGTTGGTAGACCAGCAGGTAAAGTCAAGCTTATCGTCGCAACATGTCGGTAACGTTTTTTTCTTGTAGCAAGAACTAGTTGATAGGGTGGAATTTCACGCGTCTAGTGCGACGGACTACGTTGAGCAAGGTACACATCAACTGAAAAAAACCATTCGATCAAAAAAGAAATGGAACAAGGTAGTTAGTACACAGATAGTGTGAATTTTGTTTCTCTAAAGTATCCCTTTTTTTCACAGAGAAAGTTTTACTTCATAATTGCAATAATTATTTTATTGCTTATAATCATAATAATACTTTGTTTATAGTAGGTAGGTAGGTACTGCAAACTTGGCGGTTCTTATATTGTGACCAATTAAAAAGCTTAATTCTTCTTTTGTTTATTTTAATGTGACCGTAATAGTCTTCGGTAACACCATATTGTTTATTAAATGAATAAACAAAGGCAACAATTTACCGTGATTGGTTGCAATCGCTTGTGTGTGGGATTGGCTGCCGTGTGGATAGGCCCTTGGAAGCAGGAACCGACGAAACAAACTGCCAAAAAATATAGCATCTACTAAACAACCGCAAGTCAGCCACAACTAATGCAGTTATGAAACTATTACGGTAAATACGAACAAGGAAGTTTAAAATAAAATTCCGTTTCAAAAGAATGTATTTATTGAATTTCATCGCACGTATGAAGCGATCGATTGTGGCAAATAATCATTTTTAATTTGAGCCCCACATTTACTGTCGGCTCACCTCATTTTGAGCATAGAGTAAATAATATAATTTACTCTATGTTTTGAGTGACTGTCAATTGAACTGCCAATCAAAGGTGCCATTCATTATAGGAGACCTACGAATTTGTATCGACTTTCCTTTTCAAAAGTTGGATCAAATCGAGGTGAACTTTCGTGCCCCATACGATAGGGGAAGAATCGCTGATTGTCCGTTCATCTTACTGACTATGGGCGTGGAAAGCCTCTACTCTGACAGTAGCCCTTTGTATTATTTATCAAGGAAACGTTGGTAGTTGGAAAAGGGGTCAGTTTAATCATTTCGTACAATCTCCGGTACTTGAGTTTGACGTAAAATTAACATCCTTATTTGCCATTGTTACGAAGGTCTGTATGGATAAAATGCAAAATTTTATTATTTTAATGTAACAGTGCGGGTTAATAACGCGCGGAAGGATCCTTTGTCGATTTATTAACGTATATTTTTAAGGTTCGCCGTTTGAGCATAGTGGAGAACCCAAATCTAAAACATTTTCACTTCTATCCGAACCCATATATGTATACAGGGTGGTTCATATCAAAGTTACATTTTTTTAAGGGAACCCCTGTATAATATTGCCTATTTGAATTCTGGGGTAACTTTAGTGTGACTTGATGTGTCACACTTCTATCTATAACGAACGGTTTAGCCGCAAATTGGTATTTTTTAAAAAAGCGTATGACAGAAAAAAGTTGAATATCGCATAATTGTCAAACTTCGTACGCTGTGACTTTGTGGAATTACTTACCAAAAATGTACCAATATAGGCCGTGTGTGTGGGCAGGGTGGAATTCTTTTTACGTTTTCAGGAGCCGTTTTGCTAATTTAGAAAATTTTATTCATAGATAACTTTGATTTTTTCAACCCACATGAATCTTTCCACACATTATTAGGCCACCTTGTATATGGGAATATTTTGAATTTTAAATCATGGTCTTTTAAATGGACTTAATACCTGGCGACGAAGGGAGACTAGGTATTCAAATAGCTCATCAAAACTTAGACTTATTCAAAATTATACCTACCTACTATTTATTACGTTTATTTGTGTAACTTTAGTGTATAATTAGCATAGAACTCCATTTACATGGTGAAGCAATAAAAATTATCCTTGATTTTGGGACACTTTTTATTAACGTTTCTTATACTTTTTGAGCATGTGTAAGTATTACATTAACATATGCATTTTTAATACTATCAGTATTCAGTACATTAGCTTTTGTACCTAGTTATGTAAGTAAAAATAATCACTCTAAGTGCAGTTATTGTGACTACGGCTTTGGGACCCAGATTTACCATAGATATGCTTTTACAACGAAGGATGGATCTTCAGTGAGACGATTCAAAGCAAAATCGTTGCGCACCTAAAAACTCGATATTCCAACAAGTATAGAGTAAAATGGAGTAAATTTATGTTTCCCCGGCTTCTGGAGTGCAGGCGCTCTGGGTCAGGTTAGTTTTATGAATGCGAACTAACCACGTGAAGCACAAGAGTTCTACATTTCTGACCGAGAGACCATGTACTTGCTGGGGAAGATTCCAAGATATTTTTCGTGGTAATTACTTGGAAGGCACGAGAAGAGACACATCATTGCTATAATTGACCCATATGCAAATAAGAGCTAATTTCTTTGACTCGATGTCATTTATGTGAAGTTCTGTTGACGCAGTTTTTAAGGTAATCACTGACGATATTGTGCTTATGATCGGCCGCCAACTGACAAGGAGTTGTATTATCTTGATTTTTGAGAGTAGGATCCGCTCCGGCACTAATTAATTGCTTGCAAGTCGTTAAATGTCCAAATAAGGCAGCTGCATGAAGAGCACTTTCGCCATTCTGCAAAAACGAGCATTACACAGAGACTCTCACGCAAATGTATTTTACCGGCAGTAAACCGAGGGACGGCTTATATCTCAATAATTCACCTACGACAGCGGAATGTCCTTTGTGCGCCGCTTTAAATAACGCGGTCGCGCCGTCCTGAAACAAAAATTGTATGAATCTTTTTACGGGAATATTGAGATTTATTACGTGTCTGGCGGCATCCACACGAGCGCCCGATTTCAATAATTGCGAGACAATGTGATCGTGCCCCATTTGGGCGGCAATCCACAGTGGGGTTGCTCCATCCGTTCTTCGCGGATCGGGTTCGGCCCCTTGCGCCAAAAGGTAGACTAGAATTTTGTAATGCCCATTTTGAGCGGCGATGAATAGAGGTGTGGCTTTGTCCTAAAACGGAAGAATTTGGGTATTAACTGACAAGGACAAATCTTTGGCTATAAATAGGCAAATGCTTTCATCTTTTTAGCATATATATCGCCACGTCCTTACATATGAATTTGTTTAAACTGTAACAGGTCACGCGTGATTGTATTGTAATTATTTACGGCCCACCAACTACGGTGCTCGGAATTAATAACTACCCGTCGTTCTTGTCCATAATTTTTCTGATGTGAAGTGAAAGAGGAGAGTGACCTACTAAGAATACTCTTTCGAATAATAATAACCAAGTAATCATAACAGTAAATGAAATTGTTGCCGTCATGTCACGTATATTGAACATGCGATGACCGCGAAGATAATATTATAAGTGGTAACTTTTTCTGAAAAATTTGGCGTTTACACGGTACCTTGTTTTTTCTTTTGGAAAACCCATCACGGAGAAATGTAATGGTCGGACAATTGTATCGATTTCAGATGAAATGAAAGTTACTGGTCAATTGTAATTTTAACTTTCTATGCACGATCTATTAGTGTATCTAGTTAACCATATCATCGTGTTCTACTTCCATTATGCACTAGAGAATACCAACGACATGCATCCGGGTTAATTAATTCATCAACGTGATTCCGCAATTAATTATGACTATAATAGCATTACCTTCATATGTGTATTGACTTTTGCACCTTTTTCGACAAGTTCCTTAACAACATCCATATGTCCGCATTGACACGCAACGAAGAGAGGACTTCCGCCATCCTATAAATAAAGCATCACTGCGTGTAAATAAGGCCATGCCAAATGGGTTTATTTGTGGTGGACAGGAAGTAAATGTCTTCTATTAAATGTTATTTTTAAATATATTTTGTTTCCTTGTTTCTCTCACCATTGGCGAGATTTCGTAAAGACAAAACTTACCACGCTTGCTGTATCCAATGGTGCATTATGTTCCAAGAGAACCTTCACGACTTCGAGAAATCCTCCCTGGGCGCCGAAGAAGAGGGCGGTCGTTCCCGTCTGGCAACAAATTAAGAAAGTTGGTATTCATTGCTTCTAGAAAATACAAAACATTACATAATAAACGTGGTTTCGAATTTAAAGCGATTGTTCTATAAGCACGGTCCGCTGGTTGCCCATGACGTAACTATATGGCATGCATTCCGAAGACGCATATTAATTTGTAATACAATATTGCTATACTATTTTGAAAAATGAAAGTACCTAAGCGATACTCATTGGGCCGACTCCCTTAGCGATCTTTGCCATTCATCTCAGAGTATGCGGGTTCAAGTGCAGGAGGGTGGGTTGAAATTCCGCAATTCAAATCTGATTGAATGACTATTGTTTGTTTTTCTCTAACCAATTCCTTTTGATAAGACCTTTCATTAGAATACCATGAAGGGTAAAACGTGTCACTCCCCCCCCCCCCCCCCCAATTTTCGAAAGTGTTATTTGGCTCCACATAGGCGCGACTAGAGCCATATGCGTATGCAAAATCTGAAACAAATTGATTGTTCGTTCAAAACTCCCCTAAACGGCAGCGCGAAAAACAAAATAAAAAAAGTCGCCGCACTTAACGAGGAGCTAAAGCGTATTTTTCAAGAGTCACCTTCGACACCAATCATTAACATATCTATGTCTGCATACACTTTCCATTTTCCATTATTTTCCAATTGTCAAGCTTACTTCCAGATTGTTTATTGTCGAGTTTATTGTTATAGGTACCTAAGTATCTGCAGTTAAAATTTTTTCGATATATATCTGAACAAATGGCCAAGTCGAAATACGCCTGCGCAGACACAAAATTTATTCTACAAATTTTTTTGAATTTTGAATTTCTGAATGTTATATACCTGAATGTACCATAACTCGTTTCCAACCTCAGGTTCCGAAAAATCACGACCAACTTCACGTGAGCACCGGGAAAGATTTTGAAGAAAATCCAAAACTATTAATGTACCTTCTTTAGAATTCAATGTACCAAAATTCGTTTGCATTATACCCCTTCCTTTTTTAGGAAATTCGGCTTCGAAAAATCACACCTAACGTCACGTCAATATGGGAAACATTTTGAATAAATTCCGAATACTAATCTTTAGAATTAAATGCAGCTCAAACTCAATGTACCAAAATGCGTTTATGTTGTACCAATGTTGTGTTTGGAAAATCTGGTTCCGAAAATTGGAAACAAACTGAGAAAGGAAAGAGGCTAACCTCGAAGCTAAGGTACTCCAGTCAAATTAAAATTTTTTGGTGTTGTTTTTGAAAAATCGATTGGCATCCCATTCCTTTGTAAAGCACCAAGTAAAGCTTTGTGGTGTATTGTCTCAAAAGCTTTCGACTAGTTAAAAGTTCCTTCTTGGTATTAATTGCTGAAAATATACGTACATCTGTGGGCAAACAAATGGCACCAGTGGCTTCCCACTACATTTTTGGTTTTTCATCCAATACCTTTTCAATGTCTTCAATTATCTCCCCACCTTCTTCGCTCCCTTCCTAGCTAGCTTCCCCGGTGTCATAGGGTTCGTCTAGCTTCTTCGACAACCATTTTCATTTTTTTCGGTCCCTTCGACTTCTTCATTATCTTCGGCAGTAACAATCTTCTCGATTGTCCATTGACTTTCTAGAGTTCTCAAGTTCTGTAGGTTCCTTCTGACTTCAATTCGTCAGATTCCTTACTCTCTTGCTCTTCTGCGCTGAACACATATCACATAAGCATCAGAGGCGGACACGGTTTTCCAACTTAAACGATCGTGGGCGCTCCAAATTGATTTAATTTGCATCTACCCTAGCTTAAACGGTTGGTAGTACCTTCTATGGGCACTGTTTGTTGGATAACCTGAATTTGTTCAGAATTTCTATAACCCGCAATAAGTTCTATAGAAGCTACAGGTTACTACTTTCTTATTTCTTATGGACGCCATATTGGATTTTTATGGAATGAAATAGAGGATAAAAAAAGAAATTAATTTGAATGAATCGCCATCATAGCCTTGTCGATTCAGCAATTTCTAAGTTTAAGTAAAAATATAGAGTGTGTACGTCATTATTTTTCTTTTCGTCCTCTATCTCATTCGGTAAAAATCCAACCTGGTGTCCATATAAGAAATAAGAAAGGAGTAGTCTCTAGCTTCTACATCTAGCTTGTTGTGGAAATTCTGATATCAAACTCAGATTCTTCGAAAAAAAGTGCCCATTGAAGGTGCTAACGGGAACCGTCTATTTCCGCATTTTTTTAGTCACAAAAAAGGGCAAATTCAACTATTCTATTAGCCAGTTTTCTTTAAATAGTACTCGATTTTTGGGGAACTTCTCATAGCTCGCGCTTGGTTATTTATTTATTGTCTCTCTCTTGTTCTGGGCCCACAACAGGTCTGCGCCCAATTAGATCGAGAGTGACTTGCATAATGCTTTTATAGAGGTGCTCTTGCAGAAGGGCGTAAGTTGTTCTATATTACTCCGGTATTTACTTTACCAATTAGGAAAACTGCAGGAAAACCTCATTCGGAGTAGCATGCAGAATGCTCGTAACTTATCTAAGGAAATTCCCATCTCTGCCACAGATGAAAAATTCTTACCTCGGCCCAGAAGATAGGAAAAAACTGAAAAATCATCACGTTAGTATAACAAGCTCGAGGATGACGCCTATATGTCACCGACTAGCTACCTTTTTACAAATAAATTTGCAAAATTGCACTAAAAACAAGATACAAAGAATTTTCAGTAGAAGAATTTTTTGACACTCAACTCGCATTCGGAATCACGACTTTTAATCTGGCTCATATTCAATACCACTGCTCCGTGAACTCGTAGAAATCGATTGGTGAAGGTTTGACATCGTTGTCTCTTTTCGTTCCCGAATTAGACGACATACGGGCCGACAGGCGGACTGACAAAAACACATAAAGGGAATTTGTTTTCAAAAATTCCCCTAAAAACTGTCATTGATCTAGACCAATTTTTAGTGAATCAAGAATATGTTCGAATAGTCTTTAGTGGTTTCCACGATTAATACATTTAATTAATATTCGACCAATCAGCGTGGTGATTGTTTCAAATTCTAACCAACCAGCTGATTTATTAATTAATTATAGAAAATATCTTCAGCGATAAACATGCGTGGAGGAATGCGTAAAACATAGAGTGATTGTGAAATTTCTTCTCGCTTGTATTTAATCTCTCTAAAATATACCTAGTCGATTTTTATTTTTAGTTTACTGAAGTTGTTTTGCCTCCGGGAAAAACCGGAATAAACGGAATGGCAAAACCTAGGGGTAAAGGCATAAGTTTCATCCGTTGGATTGCTCTGAAAACTAAAGGTTTTTAAAAAAATGTTTCAGAAATTCTTGATTATCCTTGAAAGATTCCATACAAATTCTTCAGAGAACCTCTGGATATTCAAAAATTCTGGAAATTTAATTTCAAATATTCATCTAGAGAATTGACTAACACTTCGATACAGTTTTTCCTCGAAAATGGAATATGCACGAAGGAGTCATCGTGCAAGTACCACTACCGAAATAACGTGATAAAACGAGAGTCGCCTCGGACTATATCTCCGATAAAACCGTCGTCCTTGCAACAGTTTTAAGAAGCGGGCAGTGCAGCGTACAGTGATCCTTCTAGAACATTCTCGAGGCGCCATCAAGTCGAAAAAGGATTAGTTACCGGCGATAAGGAATAAGGAGAATGGGACTCATTCTTTCTATGAAATATGATATGCCTTCTAGATTTTTCTACAAGGTTTATTGCTTGTTAGTCTTAACATTGATGTCGAATTAACGAATTTCGTGATCGTGTCATAAATTTAATGTATCGTTAATAGTCTTAGTTCTTGTGAACATTAATAATTAATGTAAATAAATCAATTAAATTTACGTTACACTCCAAAATGTATTAATATTTTCGCCAAGATTTCATGTATTTGCTCATATAATATTTCGCTAGCGGGTCTCCTCTCAGCACTAAACCATAAAAGCATAGAAAGGAAGTACACAGGTAAACTTCATAATCGCAAACAAAATTAAAATACTTGGTCGAATGCTTCAATTTATGATAGTAATAATGGTTTGAAATGCCGATGGAATTTAAACATTTAGCCTTGCATTTAAGGTCATAAAACGGTGAAAAGTGTGAATGTTATGTGATGTAGAACATTTTTTGATGTGGTCACCCCCTCGTTTTTTTATTTACATCTTACTTTACCATTGCAGGGGTAAAATTACTTGGTAAATATATGAATCGATCTATCAATATTACGTTTACCGAAGAAATTTTGACATTATGACTAAGGCATTTTTCTAGTACAGCCTACAAGTTGAAAAACTAAGAAACTGATTTTCATAATAAAATACAAACAGATAGATGCCCATATCAGTAGGTAATACGGAAATGAAACCTAGCACCATTTACTTATACCGACCAAATTATTTTGACCCCAATTTAAATTACCCATCAATAAAATAATTAGCTATACACAGCATGTCGTGCAACTTGACAAAAAAGCAAACCAGGTAGCTTGTGTTCAAATAAGTTTATTGCATACTTACAAGCCTTCTTAAGGTAGGGTCAGCACCTTGCTCTAACAGTTCTTTAACGCACTCGTAATGACCATAGGCGGATGCCAGAATCAGCGGTGTAGTTCCATCCTAAAAATTTGTTTCTTTAATTAATTAAGAGCAATGATGGTACACGATTACTACCTACAATTTATAATTAAACTCATCCGCTCGCTTTTACATGATTTGCAACTATTCCCGCTCCGACATATGAATATTTTTATTATTTAGACTTAACTATGAGAATCTTGGCAATTAAACATTATCTCTGCAGGTCAAATTGTGTAAATAATGTGATTTAGTGATATTAATAACGCGAGCGTTGACTTTCCTTACTTAAAAAATATTAAGCTGAGCATGAAAAGGAAGTAGATGAAACGCGCTTTAAAAAAACACTGTTTATTTATGTGATAACACGCACTGTGTGAAATTTATTCAAAAACTGGCAATTATCTCAGTTTCTGTTCAATTGGAACATTTACCAAACTGTGGTCGCCTAATTGGTTTCGGGAAATTATTCCGAGGACAACTACTTAATTTAATGATTTCGTAAATAATTACGACTATTAAAAAATTACCATTCTAATAAAACCGAGATTATGTAGTTTGATTTGGTAAATTATAAACCATAAATTGCGCGGCCGGGTTTTGCAAAAAAAAATTTTTACCTTATCCTTGCAGTCTATGTGGACCTTTCCGCTGTCCAAAATTCGTCTTAAAAGCCGTACATCACCGTTCATTGCTGCTAAATGCAACTGTGCATCCGAAAGGGATTCTTTCTGAAAAGAAAAGGGCCGATGAATTTTTGCAGAAGCGTAGAGGTACTGTATTAATTTTGAAAAATCCTTGACGCGCGGCTATTTTTGGAAACTGAATACGCAATAAGGCAGAAATTTTGGCGATAAACATTAAACAGTAAACATACACTTACTTTAGATGACATGCTGATTGTAAACTGCGAACGGCAAAAACATGTAAATGCTCACATCACAAAAGGTGCAGGTAGTTAGTGAACGTCTTGTTCGTCGCGTTACTGTTATGCAATTGCTGCAGGTGATACGCTTGTTTAAAATCTCGTGAAAATACGAATTTACGTCTTTAACGCAGAAAGAGACTGTCCCGTATTGAGCCAGTCTAAACGCGCGTATTTTAAACCCGTTATCGCATGCGCAGAATTTTTAAGTGTGATCGATAGGTTTCAATTTTTTTAAATCGCGCGCGCGTGCGTTTCCGCTAGTATGTCACTAGGTGGCGCGCGTTCTTTTCGAGGTAACTTCCATCGTGCCGTCTGTTTTGCGAGTTCCCGTTTAAGTAAGTTTTTACTTTATTCCATTTTCAATTAGTAAAGGGAATTAACCGTTTTATTTGCAGCAAATTATCAAAATGGAAAACGACACTGGTGAATGCGTCGACTTGTATTGTCCACGAAAATGGTAACTAACCTCAAATTACACGTGGTTTGTTTGACTTTTGCTTTCAGTTCTGCTAGCAACAGAATTATTCACGCCAAAGACCACGCTTCGATCCAACTCAGTATTGCCGAAGTTGATCCGGCGACCGGTAGGATGACCGAAAATACTAAAAATTATGCCCTCTGCGGAGCGATCCGTCGTATGGGAGAATCGGACGATTGCATTGTAAGGCTTACGAAAAAAGATGGCATTTTAGCGAAGTAAGTTTCTGTGTGCAGAATTTATGTAGGCTAATGTGTTCTTTTTTAGGAACTTCTAGATTTATTTCTAATGTAAGCTGTATTTTTATTGAGTTTGATATTCAATAAAGACATTATTTGGTATTGTATTTTTTGGTTTGACAGAAAAAAGTGATACTATGCCATCAAAACATCGACATGTAATAAATGGAAATGGGCTGCGCGCGTCAATAATAAGCGTGGATACTGCAGGTGAGAAAGAAGGGAAAACTAGAGCAAGCTGTCTCTTATGGTTACGCATCTGATCGGTTTTTTTCAATCTAATTTGGATGCCATCGCTTTTGTTGAAAGAACCAATCAGATGCGTAACCATAAGAGACACCTTGCCCTCTAGTTTTCCTTTCTAACTCACCTGCAGTATCCGTGCTTAGCATTGGCATACACAGTCCATTTATTATATGTTGATCGCTCAAAAATTAGTTGCTATCGAGTCACCTTTGGAATTTTTGTTTATATGGAAAATCGTACTTAACTTGAACTTCCATAGGCAACTCCACAGCAACTCAATTTTGATCGCCCATTATAGGTAAAGCTGGGAAACCTTTAATTTTAGAAGGACATTCTATTTATTGTCTTATTATATCTTGGTGTTATTTAAGTTGTTTAATCACAGACAACAGATACTACTCTGTGGTTTAATTGAAGAATAAAATGAATATGACTTGATAAGTGTAAATGAAATAAGTTATAGGTATGTGTGAAAAAATGAAAAGACTGCGACAGTGTCTCGGGCAAATATTGACCAATACCTAATTGAGTAGTTGAATTTGCTGCATCAAAGGCAATTGCAAATCAGACAGTTGTTCAGTGTTTGTGTTTTTTTTTCTATCATATGGATCGATTATTACCTATTGCTACACCTTTTTCTTAAATAATTAAATTTTTCTTATAATTCTCTGTTTGCCAGCCTGTGCCATAAGCCATAAGATGTTTATTTAATTTGTATTCGGGAACTGATCATGAGAGGACTGATATTTAATTATAAGTAGGTACCTATATTGCCGTTAATTAGGTCAAAATAAGGTTTGCCGTCCGTTCAACTTACTGTATGAAGCGCTGATTAGTACGGGGAAGCGTAGGTACTTTTGATATACAGTGATATTTATTAACATTAAGAAGAAGACAGCGAATTACGTGTATTGTTTTTCCCTTATGTATGTTTACTTTTATGTTTTAAATTACAAAATCGCCTATAATTTTATGCAACCAAAATAACTCTCTAACAAATAATACAGATCTGGCCGTCATATTAATAAATTTTGAATATTGTTGTTTTGGCTTCCGTATTTTTATTCTCACATACGCCAACCCAAAGAAACAGCCGGATGTGTTCCACGCTTTCGTCGTGAAGAAAATCCAGTTTCACTTCGAGTTGAAGGTGATGGACAATCTATGCTCCGACCACAATGTTACCCAACTATACCTGTACAGTATAACAAAAAAACATGATTCAGATAACGGTACAAAACAAAAGCTTGGAGCACGCGACGTTTCAATAAACAGGCATCAAAATCTAATGTAAATAATAACAAATTATAACAGATTGACACGAAATTTAAAGATTGATGAACGTACGAGAAAAAATAAAATGTTATGTAACTATGTTACCGTTACTACGTATTTGAGATAGATCAAATAAAGGGCAACGCAATAAATGTTTCTTGGAAAAGTAGGCCGAGAATGAAATATTTTTACGGTTACAGTTTTTCTTTCCGAGACACGAAATTGGAACACCCTGTACAATATTGTTTTAACGTATCATTCACAGAACAGTAATATTTGTTCTGTGGTATCATTTGAACAAACCTCAACCAGGTGTTTGTAATTGTATCTACTCTGTGGTCGGGGAAAAGAGCAAAAGTACAAAATACAAAAAAAATTGTGGTTCTCAAGTCCAAGATACGGCCTTTTCGTAGATACGATGTGTAGTGTAGCGCCAATTTAAAAATAGTCACCTAATGAGTTCAGAGTGCAGTGGATTTGCATGGCAAAAATTAAAATACCTATACTCACTCACTCAGTTGCTTAGAATACAATAAAGAAACAATCACAAATCACTAAATTCCTACTATCATGATTTTTAATCAAGTTTTAAGAAGTAGGTCAAGTTAAGTTTAATTACATACAAGTATTTTCTACAATTAAATTTTTAGGGACATGTTTGCAGAAACGCACCATCGCATCCTTGTCGGCCTTATCGGAAACACACCAGATGCTTAGAAAAACATGTCGAGATTTTGCAGATGGTGAACTAAAACCGGTTGCTTCAAAATGCGACCGAGAGCATTTGTATCCGGAAGCACAAATAAAGCAAATGGGAGAGCTCGGTTTAATGGCGATGTGTGTGCCGGAAGAGTTGGGAGGTACAGGTTTAGATTATTTGGCTTATGCGATTGCGATGGAAGAAATTTCTCGCGGGTAATTAATAATTGAGTTGTAAGTTTACAGTTTGTGGTATGTACTTACAGGTGTGCAAGTGCTGGTGTAATTATGTCCGTTAATAATTCGCTCTATTTGGGCCCAATCCTTAAGTGGGGGACACCTAAACAAAAAGAAACTTTCATAAAACCCTTTACCAAAGGCACAAAGGTGAATTTCGTTTAGAAATGATTTTAACAGCGAGTGCTTTCTAGGTGGGATGTTTCGCATTGTCAGAACCCGGCAATGGATCTGATGCCGGGGCTGCTGCCACGACCGCTACACTTCAGGGTGATCAGTTTGTTTTAAATGGGACAAAATCGTGGATTACTAATGGGGCGGAGAGTGAGGCAGTGGTTTTATTTGCAACCACAGATAAATCTCTGAAGCATAAAGGTATATCGACATTTTTGGTGCCAAAACCCATGAAGGGTTTAGAGGTTGGGAAAAAAGAAGATAAATTGGGAATCAGGGCTTCATCTACTTGTGCACTTTTTTTTGAAGACTGCAAAATTGACAAGGCTAATATTTTAGGTGAACCTGGATATGGATTTAAGGTAAGTAAGTTGATACCTTTCTGCAGACAAATTGACAAATTATACAGAATCCAGGGGCGCCTACTTAAATGGTGCTTGGGAGTGCTCAAAACCCTCGAATCATAATGTTGGGCGAGCGGAGCCTCTTTCTCTCTAACATGATTAGATACAAATGTGTGAATTTTGACAGTTTACCATTGTGACAGATTACATTTTAAGTAATAAGACTTCGTTTGAGCCTTATTAAATACTGAATCAAATATGAATAAAAAAAGAAAATGTTTGTAGGTACAGTGTGAGCAACAATGATTGAAGCGTGCGTCATCACCGCTTGTTCCTATTAATATCAAAACTACCTTCTTTGTATGGAGTTGTATACGAAAATGACGTTCTGCGCTGTCACAGTGAGGTGCGTCTATTCGTATTTCGTATCTTGTATCAAATCAGCATATGCTATGAGCGGCACATTGCCAATTTAGCTGAAGCGGCACGCTTCAATCTTTGTTGCTCACTCTGTATAAGTAGTGTCCAAAGGATGAAGTTTACCAAGAAACTAAGTTTCGCCTTGTAGTAACACGAGCGCAAATTTCACTATTTATCACTTCGACCTCAATAGTAAGACTAAGACTAAACACAATTCAATTTGCTTATATAGCAAACCCTTTCGAAATCTAGGCATATCATATTTCACAGAAAGAATGAATTTATTCCTTATCGCTGGTCCTTTTATCAACTTGATGGCGCTTCGTCATTTAGTTAGATGAGGACACTATCCGTATTTATAAACGACGTGCTATTCAGCAAATTCCACAAAGATTGATTGCACGCAGTGCCACACATTAGAAAGATATGTACTGTAATAGCCTGTGTAAAGTGAAAGTGCGATAAAGAAAACTGTTAGTAAAGTCAGATAATATTATTACGTTAATTTTTGTTACAATTAAATTAGCTTCCAGTTTTCTACATCAAGGAAAGAAATTTACCCAGAAACGGTCCGTTATAAACTTGTATGATTTTTCAAAATTGAAATCGAGAGCTTTACAATTCATTAGATAAAGAAAATTCGGATCTGTTACTATTATTATTTAAACTAAATAAGAGATCATAAAGTTGTAAAAAATTCTGTAACTTATTGCTGTATCCATTTGTATTATTATCTAAAGAAACCCCTGAATTTGTGACCAGTTGTTTTAGGACTTCAATTTTACGGAATTAAAATAGATTTCCATTTAAATTTCAGAATAATGGCACCAAATTTAGAAGCCATTTCACAATTTATTTTGTCAACGTAAAACAAACTAGGTTGCGGTTAAAGCATAAATTGGTAGTAATCCTAATTTAAATTATTGAACTACTCCGATCTACAGGGTGATTCCTATAGTACCTGCCACCGTTTGGGAGCGTGTAGGTGGTGCGTAGGGGAGTATTTTGATATAGGACACTTGGGGTCGGAAATCTAAAATAAGGGTGCCAGAGCGAAATTTACCTTCTGGAATTTCGCGCCTGTAGGTAGGCAACCCAACCGGCCGGCGGTGCACACGGAGCGATCTCAGGCGGCGATGTGTGGCTGACACTTGTCAGAATTTTGTTTAATTTAAACCCACGAAATCCCGTCTGCAACGACGCGTATCAAGTGAATAAACACTATGGCACGTTTTACTAACACGGAATACGCGGACATGCACTTCATGTACGGATTGCCAAATGGTAACGCACGAGCTGCACGACGAGCGTACGCTGAGCGGTATCCAAACCGTCAGTTACCCTGCAGACAGGTCTTTCAAGAAGTTCACTTCCGTCTGTGCGAGACAGGGCAATTGCAGGTAAGCTGACGGAGGCTTAACTTTACACACAGATTCGTGATGCACATCGATACTTGGGTCATTTAAGCACCCATTTCGAAAAGTTTGTTTGTTTACACCGACCCCCTCCTATTTCGCAGCCCACTAGCGCCCGTGATCGCGATCGCCCGTTGGTAAATGCCTTAGAGGAGGATGTGTTGGAACGTTTCGAGGCAAACCCGCGTACTAGCATTCCGTGTTAGTAAAACGTCCCATAGTGTTTATTCACTTGATACGCGTCGTTGCAGACGGGATTTCGTGGGTTTAAACAAAATTCTGATCAAGTGTCAGCCACACATCGCCGCCTGAGATCGATCCGTGTGCACCGCCGGCCGATTGGGTTGCCTACCTACAGGCGCGAAATTCCAGAAGGTGAATTTGGCTCTGGTACCCTTATTTTAGATTTCCGACCCCAAGTGTCCTATATCAAAATACTCCCCTACGCACCACCTACACGCTCCCAAACGGTGGCAGGTACTATAGGAATCACCCTGTATGCCAGGTAGAATATTAATTTTTAGACCATTTTATAGAAAGCAATGTAATCACGCGCCATTTGTAAACACCAGCGCCTCTAGTGTTAATCTGAATCGCTAATTGTGCGGGAAATTTAAAAATAACTGCAGGGCAAAAATTATGATCGGTGCTTTGCAATAAAGTGAATTAATTCATAATTATTTATAGATTGCAATGAAAGCGTTAGATCAAGGGCGAGTGGGCATCGCATCTCAAGCCCTGGGTATAGCGCAGAGCAGTCTTGAGGTTGCAGTCGAATATGCATCCAAACGTCTATCATTCGGGAAATCGCTGCTCAAATTCCAAACAATTCAAAACAAACTAGCTGAGATGGCGCTGCGGTTGGAGAGCGCACGCCTTCTAACTTGGCGCGCGGCATGGTTGGAAGATAAGGGAATGCCATTCACAAAGGAGGCCGCCATGGCTAAACTGGCAGCAAGCGAAGCCGCCACGTTTTTAAGTCATCAATGCATACAAATTTTAGGTGGAATGGGGTCAGTATTTTTGCTTTTTTAAATATTTCTTTATCCTAAATATCTCCAGATACGTGAGTGATATGACAGCCGAACGTCATTATCGAGACGCAAGAATTACAGAAATTTACGAAGGCACATCTGAAATACAGCGCCTGGTTATCGCCACTAATCTAATCAAAGAGATGGGTTTTTAAAAAACGTTTTACCTCAATTTTTATACTGTATTTTTTCATAGGTCTTTAATATATTTTTGGAAATAGGATTCATATACCTTGTGCATGGTATAATTAATATACATTTACCACCAAACAAGTTATTTTAAGGAAATTGGAACTAATAAAATACTTAAAGAAGAACGTAATACGATATTATCATTATATTGTGATGTACCCAGGCCAGTCCCGAGGGACTGCGCAACTCAAGATTTAAATTCAAAACTTTCCCTTCCAAACTAACTGAACCCCATGGCACGTGATGATCTAGACAAAGCTACCTCACCTGAATAACCGAATAACAGGACCACTTACTACGTTGTGTTTTTAAGAGTTGCTACAAGATATGTGTTGCTTGTCGGAGTGAGGATCAAGTAAGGAATACAAATAAAACAAGTACGTGCTTTAAAAAACGGAGATTTAATCCAAATAATTTGCATTGCAAGATTAAATTTAGAAAATGGTAGTTCACCGAGTACAAATATAAAAATAGGCTGGGAAAAAAAGAACTGACCAAGAAAAAACCCAGCCAGCAAATTAATATTGAACTTTATAGCATAATTAGTTGTCTGTAATGCCATAAATGTATGTTGTCAAGTACATCAATGCAATGTCGAACCCCAGGCTCCACTGGAATTCCTAAGGAGTAAATAATATTACACACACATAACAAAAACCATCATTAAAGCATTACAATAAATTCATATAATAGGTTTGGATACTGGATGGCCAGCCCAAATCCCACACCAAGTAGTCATTAGTTACTCTGGTCATGACATGTCAACATTGTATGAAATCGCTAGGAGTTGGCCTCTCAGAAGAGCCTTTCACATAGGAAGGATATAGTTGTTTAACACAACCAGAAGGTCACATGTACGACTAGCGGGACCCCAACTCTTTCATTCATACATCTCTGGGGCCAGTCCAACCCACTAGTCTTAAAATGCCGGGTTATAAATTACCGAACTTCAGACTCTGTACCATGAGTACTGACAATAACCGATCAAAAGACATATTTGCACTGGCATAACAAAGATTGACACAAAACCCATATTCGGTCACTACATGACAGGGATCGACTAAACGAATTGATTAGCAATATTGGCAAGATGGCTCCCCTTGAAGACACAAAAAAACAGTACATCAAATATATATCTCTGCGTATGTCAGTTCTGAACTTTAGCCAGCTTGTGCTACGTCAAATCGAGATATACTATTGGTATCAAATATAGCACAGTACAATATATTCAAAACAAGTCACCCCGCCAAATATTAATAATCATAATCACCCGGTTCAAATAAATATTAGGAGCATAACTTTTAGTACTATCACATTACAACAATACAAATGAACATGTCGTGGCAAACATTGGTATCAAGTAATTAATTCACAATGCCAAGTGCAATTTGTAACAATTAACCACCTAACGTACGTCACTCGCCCCCAGATGAGGCACCCTGTAAATACACGGTAACATAATCAGGTAAACAAAAGCGAAATGTGCTGCAATAAATTCAATTATAAATTAAAATGTAGTTCTGCATACTTGTATTGGGTATCGCCCCTAAGGGAACATACAGTATCTAAATATAAACAAAAACACGTAAATCGGTCAGTAATTCCCAGTAGGACCATAATTAAAACCAATTAAAACTGCAATTTGTATCTGGAATGTGTTATAAATGGCAATAATCAATGCTGTACGAGAATAAAGTTAAATTGGCAAATAATCGAACACGATCATATCATTATTAGAGGGATGCAATAGACGTAGAGATAAATAAAACGAGTACATCACCTTTGTAATTGTCGAAGCTGCACTCACTATTCGCAACGTAAAGATTTACTTCTGGTCTCAACAAAAGCACACATACTTCTGCCGTATTCTCCCCCTTTTTTTTATTTAAACAAATCCTAGACGAAAATTGAACGTGCTCCGAGACGGGTCGATACGGATCATTAAGTTTCCTCGCATAGCGTAATATTTGACACTTTTTTTGTAAACTATGGCCCATTTCAATGTAGAGCAGAGTAGAAAAAAAAACACGTGTTCCACGGAAACGAAACAAAGCGCAATCTTGACCTTTTTCGTCGCGCCAGACTCGATTTCGGGAATATTTAAATCGAATTTTAGCGGGCTAATTCGGTTCCATCACAATATTTTTTCATTTTTCTCTTATTTTAAGTGGCCGCCTTATATTCTAGGAGCTGGCAAACATCTATCGTTTATTTTAAAAAAAGAGTTCATATTTCTTAGTCTATTCTGGATTTGAGTACTTTCAGAGCGAGCTATTGTTTAGAATTTTGATATACCTTAGTTTAAGTCTCTGTGCTTATATCGTGGTTTAAGTACTACAGTGTACACTTCCGAATAAAATAAACCTGCTGAAGCCATTATATCTGTGAAATTGTGGTAGGTAGTAATAGAATTTCCACCACTTATGGCTCCAATTCTTCGTGTGTAGAGTGAAGATGATGAATTTGAGAACGTTCTTTCGTTGACATAATTTTCTCTCCTTCAAATTCACCCGCTCCCGCTATAACAATTTCTAGGTTTGCAATGGGGTGAGCTTATAAACGTAGTTTGACCAACATTCAGACAACTCAGGTTTGTTGTCAGTTAATGCACTAAACTAAAGTTTTGCCAGTTTTGAGGCGTTGAAAAAAAAAATGACGAATTTTTGACATTTTTGGATTTAGGCCCCTAATATGAATACGAAAGTGTTATATTCTATCCGTAAAGTACACAAAATATTCAGGAGCGTGCCTTGGAGGCTCGAAATAACCTAAAAACGGCATTTTCGGCCGCTATCTTGGATTTAGGGGCTTAAATGCCAAAATCGGTGCATCGTTTTCAGCAGGGTCGAATTAGTCTAGAATCGTCCGTCACCATTTTGTAGCACAAAACGCCGTTAGAAGTGATTTAGTGGGCCTTTTTCAGAAATGTCTCCCGGACTATATCTCTTATGTATTATTAATGTAAATATTCCTGTACAGTTTGTAAATAAAGGGTGTATCTTTTCGAGCGATACAACTGTACTAAATGTTTCACCAATGCAATTGAGTTTCCACGTCTACCTTGATCTTGCAATGCGCATCAATCACACACAGTCATTTGCAACTCTCGTATAATTTCAAATTACTTGCGGTTGCGTCATTGATTACAAACTGTGTATAATCAATGCTGGAGCACTACACAATTTAAAATATGAACTGTGGACGTCTGTTTTAACCCACCCTGTATATGAACAAATTCAAAGCGGACCTGATCACGAACCACTAGATGTCGCCACGTTCTCGGTGAATGGAAATGTCAAAGATGACTATTTTCAAACATGACAAAAGTTTGTTGCCAAATAAGTAAGTTTTAAACGGAAAATGGCCGATAGTAAAAGTGAAAAATTCGTGCATAACAACGTGAACTCTGAATTAGAAAACAAACCGAAGGACTGCGGCGAATCGTTAGCAATAAAAAATAGAGAAGGTATTTCCAATTTCGATTACTCAAGATTTATAACCTTGCTTTCATTTCAACTGACATTTAACTTTTTGGCACTTTATTTTTTTAAAAATTACATTGGGATTTGTCCCAATAATATAGGTAGAAATTCCGTCTTAAAGCAGGTTTTATTTTAACTGTACAGATTTTAGCTTTATGTATGTTAAGTTCGAAAGATAGATGTAGGTTATGATGTAAATATTTATGACTCATTTGTATCAGTTTATTATTGCACATTTTTTCTAGGCTTTTGTATTTTACCATAAGTTCAGTTTGTGTATGTCTACGGCTAAGGTATGCTTGCACTGCGAGTCTGTGAACCATAGAGGAGAGTATCGTTTATTAAAAATGATCGATTGTAGTTAACAGGTGTTTCTGCAGCATTGTTACACCATTTCGTTATCTGTACGCTTCATTGTGTTGCTTTAATTGTTTAGAACATCACTGATTGTAATCTGTAGGCTGCTACAGACATTTTTATTGCAGTAATGGAACCAATGTTGTTGGAAGATTGCGATGGATCAAAGTTCCCTCTCTGCTTTAACAATGTGTTCACATACTGCATCAAAAGTGGTATATGCGTGGATAAAAATGACACGATGGCAATATTTATTTACATAATGATGTTGGAAGCTGGATTTGTCACGCCGGATTATTCCAACCCACAAGAGGAGAGCACCTGTAATGTTCACTCCAGCTTCCATTACCAACGTTTTTTACACCTAACACGAGCACTGCCAAAGAATTGGAAACAAAACAATGTCTACAACTTCACGTTTATTTTAGCACCGTTCACTCAGCACCAGTGCTCAATTACAGCTATTGTTATCGCTGACGATTTTGTAGTTAATTGTAAAGTGAAAGGCATAAGCAACTCCACATTTTGTATGCTTATAGACCCTTCCATGTATGTTGTGCAAAGTGGATGTCTGCTTTCGTTGAATATCTATCAGAATTTGAAGACATTGTCGGTCACCTTTAAAAATATCATCTCCAATTCGGTTAAAACGTTAATTTTAGATCATTACTCGCTACGGTCTTCCTCCCTACAGGGATTACCACCCGAAATACTGTTCAACATTTTTAACTATTGTGATCGTAACACCATTAACTGTATAAAACGAACGTGTAGATATTTCGAAAAAATGTGTACAAAACAAGCAAGTTAAGGTTTTTGTGGTAGCAAACCGAATTATCGCCGCTTTTAAGGAAAACCTGCAGTGCCCTGTACTTCTCTACCTGTGATCTTACAATAAAGGAGTTTTGACGAGATTGTGTAACTTTATTTGACCTCCACCTACTTAACATTTAGTTATAAATCTAGCGTTTAATGTCAAATTTCCCTATTTATTATTCGATATTCCATTTCAGAGAATGGGGACCAATTAGAAACACTTACTGTACCTGAAGCAACAAATGTAGGAACCATAGGGCATATTCCGATCAACGGTGAACTTCGTAAGTAATTTTGGCTTTCTACCACTAACCCCTATAATTACCATCGAGGAATGGTATTTTCGCTAACATATTTTGGAAATGTGTCATTAATGTGCCACGTTGAATACCGGCTATTAATATCTTGAAAAGATGACCTTGGAATATTTTGAAAATTTGACATTATATTGTAATGTCAATGTCACCTAAAAAATGTTAGCACTTCCGGTTATACCGGAAGTTGGTGATGCCAATTTGCTTATTTTAATTGGAAGACCCTATATATTATTTAATTTTTAGATTCTAGGTATACAGGGTGGTGACTTGCGTAACGCATCATAGGGATTTCAATGTAAAATTCATGACATGCGATTATTGGCTCCCCAAATTATTTTAGAGCAAAAATGTATGAAGGTTTTTTGTAGAAAAAAATTTTTTACGTCAATCAACCGTATTAGTTTTCAATTTTTTGCATAATAAAGACGGAAAATTGGAAAAATAAAACCCGCATCTTTTTCAATAATCTGCAATGCCATGGAATTTTCTAAAACAAAAAGATATCCAGTTATCAATATTAGCAGCAGTTCGAATTGGATTTTATGATCGACTTGGTTACTGTCTTGCAGTTAATGGTGACTTATGCAAACATATATTGTAAATTGTTATATTAGGAAACCGTTTTCAGTAATTTGGTGTTTCTTTATGGTGAATTCGCTGTTCTAAATATAATACTTTTTGATAGAATTTGATTTGTTTTATAGCAGACATTTCATGGCATGACGGATATTGGCGTAGTTTTTGTATTATAAAACAACTGGCATTCGTCGTGGTACACCCTTTATATGTATGCACTGTAAAAATGAAACAATACTTACGTAGGTACTTGAACTTCTGTTCAGTTACACAACGGAATTTAGAAAGTCGATTGGTTTAAAATTGAAAAATTATTCAATTAGTACCTTAATTCTACTTCACACAATCGCGCCCATGATATAAGTCAATCAATATCGTTACAATCATTGGAACCGATGTGTAGCCAGAAGAATAATGACAAATTTAAGTTGCGAGTTTTAAGCCGGGAAGACGTTTCAGAACGATATTAATGAGAATTAGGTGCTGTTTTTTCAAGAGTCACATCCGCCGTTGCTGGGTAGGATGTTTTATACTGACTGTGGGAATTTGGTCCACGCGAAGTTCGAGTTATATGTGTCAAGAAATCTTATTGGACAAAAAGATTAGTTTGGATTGGTGATCTGAATTATAAAAGAAAAGTGTTGTGAATTAGGTGAGTGGCAGAGAGTCGTGGGACAATTCGCGTTAAACCATGATGATAATGGATAAATATCGATTATCGATAAATATCGATATATCGATAATGTTTTGCAGCCCTACCGGCAGACCACTCGCGTTAAGCCGTGAGCGAAGTAAGTCAACCACCTGTAAATTACCGTGGGGTGTGTTTTATTTGTGAAAAGAGAATTCGCCCTTAAAAATGAGTACCTCTAAATTAGTGCAAATCGAGGTGCAAATGGAGTGGTCCGACTCCCTAATAATCGAGATCGTGTATTACTTTCGAGAAAATGTATTAATACGATAGCGAAGTATGTGTAACACGTTAAAGCGGATTTAACTTCTTTTTTGCTGTTTCCTAGGGCTTCTAAAACAGTGTCCGTGGATGAATTTCTAGAAGCAGTTACTGAGGAAAAGTTACACCTACAATATTAGAAAGAGTGTTTGAAAACACTCAATAATTTACAGAATGTAGACTGCAATTAAATAAAATGATCAGGCAATGCGGAAAATTCTCTCTTTTTGAAACCTCCGGTACGTAAATTTGCTTGTGGAAATAGTTAAATAGATAATTATGATTCTCCAAAAAAAATTATTCACTTCACACCCCGAAAAAGGGAAGCTTACAGTCCATTGTAATGCGCACAGTTAAATGTACATAATTATTTTCTTTATTTCCTTTTACTAACCATCCACACAACCCACAAGGGGTTTTCCACTACAATTTCATTTTACTATACCACATTGGCATACGTGGAAAAAACCTTAACTAAAAAAAAGTAGATACAGCCCCTCTGTTGATTGCGCGAAGTGAAAATCTTTTTGTCACAGCGCAACGTGCAATGTGCACGACACATTTATTTATTGGAAAAGCGTGTAATACGTCTCTCGTCTCATAAATCACTTTCGTTGAAATTGAATCTCTCCAGTTGTCAAGCAGAAGGAGTTTTTGTTCCTCGCTATCACGTAAAGTAGAATGGAACGTTGACGCAAAGCGTTTCGTGTAAAATTGAAATTTGTGGTCGTGGCGTGTCCTATAGATCTGAAAATGAAGTAGGTGCAATACTAAAAACATCGCTTTCTCTCGCTTCTATCTATCTACGCTTACGTTATCGGTACTTTAGATACTTATCGTATATATTGGAAGATCAATCACCATTTATGTGCGCCGAGAGGTAATAAAATGAACCAATAGGGGACAGTACCGACGAAATTACAGATTTATACAGGGGAATTTGTTTGAGGTTATTCACAATGATTTGGTGCCAATCTTCAAAACGAGATTTTATTCACATAGGTAATATCGAGATGGAATGGAGATTATATTGGGTTATATCAATTAGGGCGCATCAAAGGTTATTGCACTGTGTCGTCAAAACCAGTAAAAAACTATTAGATTCATCCTGTTGTGATAATGAATAGAACTTTCTGTTTGCCTGTAACTGTTAAACCAAAGGATCAACCTTTCGCGAAAATTTTCATTCCGAGGACCGCGATTCATTAAGTCATTAAGAAATAGCCTATAGAAACAAAGGTTTATTGCGCGGTGCTAACCAACGAAACCATCCTAAGTTTAGTGAACTAATGATAATAATTGTATAAACCCACCATTAGAATTTTTATAGTTTCTCTTTGTACACTTCCCGAGTCTGCTACAAAGAAAAATCGATTTTGACTTAAAAATTTGATACTCAGTGGCCTCCAGCAACCTCGGAAAGTCTCAAAGAATTTACTGCGCAAATTTTTATCAACACCTGAAATAAATCTTGGATACGAAAAGAATAATCTGACATGACCACTATCTGGGTCGCAAAATGGGTTCGAATTCGCTTCTTTTACACACTATTCCAAAACGGACGAACTGCGTCTGCAATAAAATTGAAAAGGCCAAAAGCGGAAACAAATTTATATGCTATATGCACCTCCGCACCGCCAACTAAACACGCAGCCCCAATTTCTCCTTGTCTCGTATTTAAGGGAACACCAGTTCCATTGTAGAATGTTCTTCTTCCGTCGGTACTTACAAAGCAACCGCCAATCAAAATTAGATTAGATAACGCCGGCAGCGAAGGAATTCGTCCCCACTTACGCCGAAATAATGCGCACATTGTTGCCCACCTACATCTGTTATCAGCATGAGTACACGTGCGATAATTAAATTATATTCGATAACTTATCGCAAACACTTAAATAACCCTTTATAAAATATGCAAAATTTGACGATTAGATGTTCCCAAATTTTAATACGCAATTTCACGTTTTACCATTTTACACAAATCTAAATATAGTTATTTACATATGAGTATGGTAAATCAAGGTTTACGTTAACGAGTGAGATGTTTACTGCCGAAGCGTAGCTGAGGCAGGAATTTCGAAACGAGTAACGTTAACTGATTTAACATAGACAATTCAACTCATGTATAAAAAATCACATAAGCCGCAGTGTAATTGTCACTTTGACAGCGGCAAAAGTTACCTGCAACTTTTCCAGCGACAAATGCACTAGTGGTTTTTTCACTTATTCATTTTCGAACCAATAATCGCATTATCCTTACCCATATGACTAGTTTGACGTCTGTCAATAATTGATTAGTTTGGTGAATTTCTTGTTCGTTAAATTGTCCTGCCGAATTACACTCGAGGTTTGTATTTAAACCGAATAAATTTGGGTTGTGGCAATTCAAATCTGTTTCCTTTTAGCAATTGGACTCGAAAAACTGTCAACCTAAAAATGCTCCACCTGCGGTGTCGCATTTTTATTAGTTGACAGTTTTTCTCGTCTAATTGCTAGGCAACAGATTTTCATTACCTAAACAACCCAAATTTACTCGGTAAAATACAAACCTCTTGTGCAATTATAAGTGAAATAATGTAAAACATTTTATTTCATACTGCTCTATTTCTATTAAAATACCATTTTGATTAGAATGTTGTAGGTACATATTAAAATAAAAGCAAAAGTCGATCACTTGATTTGTTTGATCTGACAGTAGTTTGACAAATATCAATGCATACGTTTAGATGGATGTCAGTTGCGGTTGCTAGGCAAAATTTCCAGTCTGGTAAAAATTTTCAGTCTGGTAAAATACGATTTACCAGACTCAAATCAGTCTGGGAAAGCGGCGATTACTAGATAGTATGAAATAATAGTACATTATATATCAAGGTAGAGAAGTCCACTATTATTGCCTGAGCACCAAGATTACATCTCGAGGCGCTTGCGCCGAGGGGTGTAAGGTGCGAAGGCAATAATAGACTTCTCTACCGTGGTATATATACTATTTTTTTCACTACTAGCACTTGAAATCCTCTAAATTAACATATTATATTGATAAGAGAGTTAACGGTTGGACAGAATTGTTTGTTTCTTAATTTAACATGTCAATCAAGTACGTGGAAGTACAAGTCAAACAGGCCGAATTTTGTTCTGTCATTGAGATTTTTCAAAGACTAATTTCGTTCGAATTTTTTCAAAATGTGATAATTTTAGGTATGTAATTTCTCTGGAAATTGCGAATGGTGGCAATTATTCGTTTTAGAGAACTTGT